GTAGTCTAAATGTGTGCCACACTAAAGGGAGATGGTGAAGACGGGGGGTGGGGGGACTCTCTGAAAATATATGAGGGGTTATGAAGCTGCTCCTCAACGTTCACAGGTCAGGTACTGTGTTTTATGATGGAACATGCCTTCTGTCGCCAGATTTATGGACATGGACAGCAAATACTTCTCCCTCAAACTAACCCCTAAAACACGCTAAAAAGGATTCCCAGTGAATTCTGGATTTACCACACAACATGTTTAGAGCAGCTATTACAGATATACACTGTATGTATGTGGTATCACAGACTAGGCGGCCTGGATTCTGTCCGTTACACCGCTACTAAATAAAGATTACAAATCTCACAGGAAGGCAACTAAAGTGTCTGGTGGGGAAGTCAATGAACTAATACATAAACGTGTTAATTTAACTCCCATTTTCCGATTCAAGTCTTGATGCTGAGGCATTCTGCCTGATCTGAACCATCCAATATTTAGACAATGAAATCCAACCTCTGTTCTACTCTAAATGTTTCTCTTTGTCTTATCATTCAAAGCCCTCTGCTCACTGTACTCCTCCTGCCTTCTCTCCTCCCAGACTCTCTCCCTGTCCAAATATTTCAGGGAGCAGGCCTCAAGTATGGTGAGGTGTTTTGGGTGTCTCTTTAGGTGGGCTGCAGCTGACGATATGATTGTGTGGTCAGCACTACCGAGAAAAGACCACCCAGCAGGCAACTGCTGCTGCCACAAAGACCAACAGGCCGGGCAGGAAACAGGAAACAGGAAGAAGAAGGCAGGACATCCTGTTCATCAGTGTGTGCATGACAGTGTGCATGACATCACGAAAGCATCACTCTTTAATGAAGAATACCTGTTCAGAGGCCAAATATTCTGTCGCTCTGCTCTTAAGTCACCTAAGCTCCAATACATTTCTATCTATGTTTTATCTCTGTGTGTTTCTGTCTCTGTCTTTCTGCGCATCATTCTCAGTTTGCCTTTTCAGCCCTCACACTGACACTGTTTTCCAGACTGCTCCATCATTCCAGACATCAAATCCTACCCTCTTCAGTGTGAGAATAAAGGAGGAAAAGAAATACACGCAGTTTCATTTGAATATACACCAGCGACAACCTCACAAAACTCAAGACAAAAAAAAAACAAAAGCACAAACATTCCAATGCGCAAACAGACGGCAACGAGACACAAACTTGAACGCACACACACACACCTCCCAGACACACAGCACATACTGACAGACAAACACACAAAGAAACAGCAAACACAAAGCACAGCACAGCCAGAAGACTACTTTATGCAGAAATATTCTAAAGTGTGTTTTACAATACAATTAAACATCAAAGGCTGATATATTCCTCTGTGATCTTTAACACCCCAGTGAACAAACCCCATACACCCCCATCCACTTACAGCGTACAGAGAAAGTTGCTGAACGTCACCGTTAATTACTAGATAGAGACAGAAGAAGACTTTGCATCATTATGCAAAAAACAGGACATATTCAAATATATGCATTCGATCCACCATAAACCATTCAAGGACTGTGTTATTTACTTTAGATTATTACTTTTTTTAAGTTTCACGATTAATTGCTGCTCTTATGAAGATATACAGACAGTACTCCAAAGGCACAGAAACATTTGGGTAAACATTTCTAACATGCACAACAGTTAGGACAAAGAAAGGGAGGTCTGTTTTAAAATGAGTAAATAAACACAGGGTGAGGTTGAGCCCTACACATTTCATTCGCACTATTAAAATGTATGAAAACCATGAAAAGACTTTTCCTTCCATGTAGCAAAAGAGGGAACACCTGCCTTGTGCAATAAACAAGAATACAACAAGCCCTTGAGTTATTATAAAACTGAGGTATTTTCATCTGCTTATAAACAGGCAAGAAAAGGAGTTATTCTAAGCAAATGGCTTAACATTTCTACAGTATTTGTGTCAGATAAATGTACTATAAGGAGAGGTTAACTTTATTCTATCACATCTAGATTGTTGGTGTTCTCTGTTACATTCATTTGAAAGGGCGAAAGTATACGCTGCATTATTTACAGGATATACAGGGATGTCTCTTGACAGTTTAAGATATTATATGCTCCTTATATATGAGGTAAATATGATTCTCCACAATTGACTCTTATATTACCTTCTTATTTGAGCCAAAGGGCATGAAGTCCAATTACAGTACTTCAATATCTACCTGCAGATCTTGCCAACCTACAATCTGCAAATGAGTGTTTTACTGATGTTTAACTGAGCAAACTCTGAAAAGCCTTTCCAAAATATTTGAAACCATTAGTGGAAAGAAAACTTTAAAGCATAGCAAAAGGGGCCATTAAATTATTTGCTTAAACATAAATGCTTCTGATGTTTCCATTAAGAATAATGTTTTCATAGAAGGAGGGAATCTTGAAATGTGCCTGCTGTACAGTATTACATGTGCTCTGAGACAGCACAGTGGTATACTTTACTCCTTTTTTTTTTTTTATATATATATATATATATATATATATATATATATAAAGGTGCAGGAATTATATTAGACATTTATCATTAAATATATAAGCAGCAGTCCTTCCTATCTATGCTGATTTTGTCTGAGCACTTTTAAAACACATGGCAAAACCCTGACCATGGCACACAATGTGTCCGTTCCCTTCACTTAACTAAAGCTCTACTGAGCCCCTGGTGTACAGCAAAGTGCCCTGACAATCGGCTCAATGCCCTGGCCAATCACAGGGACACGTGACCTTCTAATCCCTCTCTGTGTGAAGGGGTAAGAGTTTGTTGTCAATGTTGGTTTTGTGAATCAGCGCCCAAAATCCCAAATGATTTGTCATGAAGGAGAGGTCTTAAGAGAATAAGAGAAACAAAAGCAGCACGGGCCAGTGAGTGTGGGTGTCGGTGTGATGTGCATGTGTGTGATGGTGTGTGTGTGTGTGTGTGTGTGTGTGACAGAAAGACAGAGAGGGAAAGGAGGAAGACCATGCTTTTGCCTCGGCATTTGTGTGAATTTGCATGCGACTGCATACGTGCGTGCATGTGTGTGTGTCTGTATAGGGTCTCTGAGATTACAGAGCTTGGCTGACAGAGTCCTCTGTGTGTAATCGTGGGTCCACATGCGAGCGCTCACCTTCCTCTGAGCGGATTAACCTAACGCTAAATCTCAAGAGAGCAACAGGCCAGACAGGCCACACAGAACAACTTCATTGGCGATGGGCAAAAGGGAAGGCCAATGCGTAAAATCGTTTTATAGACTAATACACTTTAATATATTTTTTCATGAATAAACAACTCATATAAAACGCCATAATAGATTATATAAAGTAATGGGACAATGCACAGAAAAGTACTTTTTTTTTATGTAAGAAATGTACATCACATGTTGCATATACTTTATATCGGCTGTATCATTTTTAGTGAAATGTAAGTGACTAAGTGTATGCAGCACGCTTTTCACAGAGTCACAAATTAGGTTGATACGCTGTAGTAAACAGAAACACTTTAACACTTTAAAAATATTCTTTGCCCTCAAAATATCACTAATAGGCCATTTAAAAAATAATAGTTCTTATATATCTCAAAATATGCTGTGAATATCATATCAGGTTTATCATTTTGAGAAATTGAATATATCTCTACCTTAAAAAAATGTTTTAACTTAAAAAAGGGACTGTATTTATGTCGGTACTATAATTGCAGTTTAACTTTTTAACAGATGCACAAGCATATCCGTACAGATATTAAGGTGTATGCTTAAATTAATGAATGTGAGTTAAATGCATACAGCCCACTCAGTTCCTAAATCTGTCCAAATTCAAATGAAATGAGTAATTTAAAATTCCATAACCATCATTAGTTAATCTGCACATTTCATCAGTGGGCTTCATATCCACGCTTTAAGTGCATCACAAATACATCAAATTGGTTTTCTAAAGCTGCAACCTGTGAAAGTTGCCACAGGTTAATTATGGTGTCATTATTAATCCTCTCACTGCAACAGGTTCAATTGAGCCACGAGTGTGAACTAAACTCACTGAATAATTATAACATTCTCAATGTAGCGAAATAAGTCGAAAACAATCTCAGTCACAAAGAAGAAATTATAACACACCTGAACACACCAGACCTCTAAAACCCTGATTCACAGTTCTAGTCAGCATGCACGCTCAAATAAGTCCAGCAAACTGGGTTTTTCTTGTATTGTAGTTTGGAAATGTTTAATGTTTACACTATTCAGTCTTTTCTAATATATTTAATGAAATTTGCCTATGTATGGGTTATCATTATTTAATGTGATTAGTGCACCTCAGTTTAGTCCGTGTAAACCACTGGTAAATAATTACATATTCACAAAGTAAGTAAGGCCATCTCATGTGCAGTGAGTTTACCTGCATCATGTTGCTTTAAGCTAATTATCTGTAGTAAAATAAGTAAAAACTTCTCCATGAATTTTTATTTTTATTTCAATTGTCTTCGAAAGAAAGTTTCTTATATTATTTAGTAAAACCGTACAGACCAGGTAGATTAAACACTACATTTTAAACTAAACATAAAGTGTAACTTTTCACGTGCCAACCCATCGCGCAGAAGAGAAGAACATACTGTGTTGTGTTATATTATTAAGGAGGGCAGCGTATTGAGTAGATTTGGCTTTGGGACTACGCGCCTGCATGTGGACATGAGAAAGCTTCACAGGGTCGACACAAGAGTAACACTACTTAAAACACGAGACAGACCTTGACTCGCTCCTAATAGACCATAAACAGCTACTTGATGTCAGCCTGTAATTATATGACATAGCTGTCACCGGCATAAGTCGATCAGGGTCCCAACAAATCAATAGACGCAGTAACTGTACTTAGTTGAGGAGGAAGCGCGCATCAAAATAGACCCTCAAGTTTCCCTCTGGAAGATTGAAAATACGGATCATATGATGCAACGTGTCTTGTAGATGTTTTGCGAGTGAGTGCGAGCGCGGTACTTACTTTATTTCGCATGAAATCTTGTCCGGGTGAAGTGAAAGATACAACAAGCGGTCCGCCGGTTGTTTGGTCCGGCCGACTGACAGGAGGGGTTGAAGCTGCTGCTTGATGGGGACGGACTTAGCCAAGACGCACTTAAAATCCAGGAGCGCAACTTAGCTGAGGACGTCGCCGGGAGGAAAAAAAGTAACCTACACTACGTGGTAGGAGTCTCTATAATGTCAGAGACAACTACTCCCTCTCTCTCTCTCTCCCTCCCTCTCTCTCTCTCTCCCTCCCTCTATCTCCCTCCCTCTCTCTCTGATCGGACAGTGTCTGCTCAGGAGGCGGCGAGGACGCTTCGCCTGGTCTCTCTGCGAGGTGATGGTGGAGGTGGTGCTGGTACTCTGTACTGCTGGAGGTCTGGATCTTGATGCTGATGTTGAGAGGCTCTTTCTGTTCCTTCCCACAATCCTGACCGAGTCTTTCCCCAAACCCTCTCCTCTCCCAGTGCGACGAGAAATAATCGATTTTTTTTTTTTTTCTCTTCTCTTCTCTTTTTTTTTTGACTCCTGAAAGGGGGCGGGCTCACATTTCCCAACTCTACTTTAATGAAAGAGGCACGGCTCTTAATGCTTTATTATCGCGCCAGCCCCGATAGAGTGGACGGACAATTAACTGCTCAGAGAGGACCACTAGAGGAAGATGATGGGGGATGTGTGCTTAACTAATGAACCAACGGAGAGCACGTTAAGCATCTTTAGCCGATTTACAGCTAAATCCAGCCGCCAATGTTTATGTTTTAGTTGTGGCCTGTTGTTTCATGCAGAAAAAAAAAGACAGAATAGGCAAATCTCTACACTCAAGAAGGGGTGAAACTTCATTTTATATGCTTCTTGCAATTAAAGTAGATTCAACTGGTATATCTTGTTCAGTAAACCCCAAATAATAGAATCATTCAGTTCTCAACAGATGTATTATATGTCTGTGAAACATTACTGCGGCCTCCCGTCTGAGTCTCTACAAACTTATACCTCCAGCGCGCCGCCAATCATTCTCCAGGACCCAGCTATCTCCTTCAGATAAGCCCTGACACAGACAGTAAGCATGGGGGAATTACCAAGCCTTTATCCATCCCACCAAATGATTTCAAAACATCCACTCTATTAGTGTGAAGATAACAATTAGAACAGCAAGTTTGCCACTTCAGATAAGACACAGACAGGCAGTCTGTACAGAGATGCATCCCAGATAGGCCTTGTTATACTGTGGTTCTATTATACTCACATTATATGGGCGCGGTATCAGTTTAAAGAGCGGCTGTCTTGAATGGAGCCTGCATGTTACACTCCCATACACCATCAGTTCTCACTCTCGAGTTTTCATCAGTCCATCCTCAGAAAAAGAAAATAATCCTAACACATTGTTTGGAATCTGTTTGGATTCATCTTTTTGGATGGTTGAAGTTTTACATAGTTGATAATCGTTTAACACGTTTCATTCTAAAATCATTCAAGGACGGTGTAGCCCCTTAAATTCTCCTTTTGTTGACTTTTAATCTTTTCCTCATCTTCATTGTATTGGCAGTTGAGCACCATCCACATTTTACAGAAAATGTTAGTCCAGCCACACCTTTTTTGTCTAAATGCATACACACAGCGAAGCATTTTCCCTATTAGCTTATAGCTTTGCAGCACATGCCAAGTGTAAGCCATGTATGCCAGTCAGTCAGTCAGGGTACGAAATGGCGGGACATGAAATCAGTTAATAAATAAATCAAGCTGTCTAATCTGCTTGACGGGCGGACATTACAGCCTGTAACTGAAGCCGCTGGTGTCTGATGACTCGGGATACCTTCACATCACCTGACCCTTTAATCTTTAATAGCATTTCCTCTCCCCCCCCCCCCCCCCAGACCTCCATAATAATCAATAAGGTGTAGTCTGTTAGAGACAGTGGGTTCATAAATGCAACATGGCAGATATCAATGGCATCACATACCAGCCTGTATGAAGCATACAGGTTTGACACCCTCAGTAGACAAGTTCCTCCGTGCAGATAGTATACGTGCTACTGGCAATAGCATTAACATATGTCTGACGTATGGAAACCTATGGGTGCCTGGATGATCGTACATACCACTTTCAATATTCCTTCGTCAGCCGTCTTGCGTGCCCTCAGTCTCGTAGATTTCTGTGCTGCCTGTCAGCAATTCATCGGAGAGGTCCTTTCAGTGTTCACAGTGCTTGAGGTTGTCTTTGGTTGGCACCTGGGAGGGGAAGTAACACAGGGTATAGCGTGAGGAGGAGAAGAGAGAGTGAAACTGCCATTAAAATGGTAATTGTTTGCATGCACATAGTGAGCAGGATCCATGTTAACATATGTGTGTGTATGTGTGTGTTTATTGTCCATATGAAGTACAGAGAAATAAATGGGGGGAGGTGGATTGAATATATTTGAATGGTGAAAAATCATTAAACGAGGCAAACACTGGCTCATGCATATTCATAAATGACTGTCTAACTTGTCTACAGGGATAAACTTATAGTGAAGGCATACTTACAGCCTCCTTCTATGCTCACACATTTCATGCAAAGTAGGACAGTCCTACTGTATATTTTGCTCTTGAGACTACCAAGTGTGGGTCTACGGCTAAATCTGAATATGATAGAAACAACTCAGAGCATTATAGCCAGATTATTGTTACATTATAATATGCCATTCACAGTGTGTCACATTATGCCTTTTACAGCTGATGCATTTAGAGTTAGCAACACAATAAGTGTGATCAAACAAGCAAAGCGTGCTCTAGGTTAAATATTGTAGTTTGTAGCATTTGTGTTATCTTGAGCCAAATTATGTTTCTCATCAATGAAAACAAACTAGATTATTAGTCTCTTGCTCTCTGAAACTTTCCCTGCACAACTCATTAGCCAGAACATGTCAATCCAGAACTTATATTATGATGTGTGTGTGTGTGTGTGTGTGTGTGTGTGTGTGTGTGTGTGTGGGGGTGTGTGTGTGTGTGTGTGTGTTCAAGTGTGGGTTGACAGTCTCATCAAAGCCTGATGGAGAAAAATCAATAGTTTGCCAATACAATTATGTAATTTCAAATATGTCATAGTGTGTATACACACACACACGTTAGGCTTTTGGGTAAATGCAATTTCGCAAAGGTTTGGCATCAACTGCGCATAAAAAGAGAAGAGGGGAAACTGCCACTGCATGTTAAGTCAAACACATAAGTGCGGTTTGCTGATATTGATCTTGCTTGGATTGTTTCTTAAGCCTCTGCTGGCAGTCACTTCACAGAGTGTGTCACACACACACATGCAAAACAGCTCGCCTGAAAACGTGTGTGTGTTTTTTTTTGTAACGGAGGGAGAAAGAAAGGAATGCCTCTCTCAAGCAAAAGATAAACACTAACACATTTCCAGGGCAAACAGGAACAGCCCGGGCTCGGTGCAATCTGTTGTCGATCACGTTCACGTGAAAACACAATCTGCCTGTCACAGTAGATGATGCTGTCAAGCTCTCTGCCTCACTGCTCCTGAGAATTAGCTCAGTGCTTATTACAGAAGCATTACAAGACACAAGGAGTACTTGTTGTATATCAGATATGTCTGAGGATGCTTCAAGCTTTATTTGGTATTTACTGCTTTCAGTCATTCTTCCTGCGTTCCTTCCCTAATGAATATGAGAGACGTTTGGTGTTTTGACAGTAGATTGATGCGACATGATGTGACGACCAAGCTTCACAGGGGTAACAGAAAGACCTGCAGGCCAATTTAACTCACAGGCTCAGCTGGGGATCTATAGATCTTACTTCTGCACGTCTATGTGTGTGTGTGTGTGTGTGTGTGTGTGTGCATGTCTTTAGGGTAGACCTTTATGGTTGTTTGAGGGACAGTCTCAATAACAATATTTTAAGACTGAAGCCTAAATAAATAATGCTAATATTTAATTGGGACTTTATGAATAAATATATCAATTATCATTATTATTAGAATCATTAGTATTAACCAGAAGGAAGAGCCTCTGAAGAAGCATCATGTATCATTACATTCTGTGTTCTTAGTTGTGAGAAATACTTAAGCCAGAAGAAATAAACAATGAAGCAAAATGAAAAATACTTAGTCTTATACAAGTGTATGTGTTATGTGCGTTTGAGTGAATAATGTGTGTAATAGTCTCCATGAATGTTTGTGTGTTAATGACATTCATATTGAGCAGCACTGGGTTCTGTTCTTAGGGGAAACAAACCTTCTTTAGAAGTAATCTCACACTTAGTAGGAGAGATGTGAGACATTTGCCTGCCGATCCGCACTTGGTCTTTGTGTAAATCAGCGTTATATTACACATGATTCGGAGATCCTTATTAATAAGGTTTACAATGAAACTCAGAGGGCAATATCATCAGTAATTATAGTTGCATGAATTGTACCACTGTACAGTATAATTAGGGGAGCAAAGGTGAGAGAATCTGTTTTAATTAACTGAAATCATATGTCCTCATATTACAATATATATAAAACAAAGAAATTCAATAATGTGAGCTTCACCTTCCTAAATTTGGATAGCAAGCAATATTACCTTGATAATTCTACGACTGAAATAATGCAGTTTTTGACTCAAGACCATATATACTGTATTAGCACCTTGTGGTAATTACCTTTCAAAAAAATGTTATAGGTAAATATAATATATTTGGATATGGTATGTAGATAACTTACCTTGGAAATTGGAAAAGTCATAAATGACAGCTTATACATTCATTTATTTTATTTTCATCAGGTTCACTTTTTTTTTAAAGTAAAGAAATCACACTGCAATGAACAGATTTTTGACTTGAACATTAAATGATCCCACATCTCATAAACTTACATCCACCTCAGTCATTTTAACTTTGGTCAGCTGCAATTCTTTTAGTTTTCTAAGTAAGAAAAAAGGAAAAGGACAAAGAAAAAGTTCTGTCTACTTATCATTAGCTGCTGTGTTCTATAACGGTATGACTCATTCTTCAACGAAACCATACAGAGCCTTATTTTCAATAACATGTTTTTTTCTGTGCGGTTTGGCCATTAACTGTCTGGCCAGCAGTAAATTCACTGTACCATTTCATATATTTCCTTGTCCTTACAGTTCAGTTTCAGAACAGCACCCTGTTGGATCAAACCATACAGGACAGACTTGAATGCAATAATAACAAAGTCAGAAGGCCTCTGGAACTGTAATAGACATGTAACGACCCCTTACCGAGCAGTGTTAAAGGAGAGACGGCGCTGGTGATTTGCATGTGTCGTGTTTAACCAACAGTATTCTGTCTGTACACCTTTTATGCATTATGGATGAGGCACAAGCTGAACAACAAGCTCTCCCTTTGTTCT